TTTTTTTTGGGAAAATTAATAGTAGACTTATTAAAGAACGCAACAAAATTTTTTACTTCGTTTTAAAAAGGTCAAAACTTTAGTTATGAAGAGGTTTGCTTTTTCGGAAACCACCAAAATTTCAGGGTATTTGAACAATCTTGTTCGGAAAAATTTATACCACCCTTTGGGCCCGCTGGATGGGACGTTCATTTTCAAAAATTTTTGCCACATCCTTATGTTAAAACCCATCCCCTTTGTGACTTTCGAAGTCTTCAAGAATATAAAAACTTTTTTTCACAGATTGTGAAAAACTGTTGAAAAAATTTTCTTTCCTAGATTAAGAATGAATCTCTGTTTTTTTAAAAAACTCTGTTATTAATCTTGTCGTAAAATTGATTCAGGACTCCCTTCCGCCCGGGTGGAACGCCAACTTTCTTATTTCACTGATATCTTTCATCCATTGTTGGGTCCGTAAACTCCACAGAAAAACTTTTTTTGTTATTTTTTTTAAAAGGGGTTTTTCTTATGTTGGGGGGACAGCGAAATCTGGGAATGATAGAGCGGTAGTTTGGCAAAAAGGGAAACCCCGCGATAGTTTTTTGCGGGCCTTGCCCTGGGAAGCATGAGCTTGGGAAAAAACTGTTTTCCCCCTGAACCCTTTAATTTTGACCACCCTAAGGCTTTGTGGACTTTAAAAGAAAAAAGAAATTTTTACTGATTTCAAGTTATCCCAGATTCTAACAGGACATGGAAATTTTAAGAGCTATTTATCTAGATTTAATTTAATTGGGAGTGATATTTGTTCTTGAGGTCAGGATGCTGAAACTGTGAACATGTATTGATGTATTGTAAACTATATTTCTATAAAAGAGGGAATTTTAAAAAAGAGTTGAAACATTTAGGTATTTCCTGGTCACCTGTTTTGTCTTTGTCGGTCAATTGTACTGAAAGCCTAAATGTCTTAAGAAAATTTGTTTACTGTATAGATTTTTAAAGTTTGATATTGGGGTACCTCCCCTTGTCTATATTTGTGTATTTCCACTTCTTCCTTTTTATTTAATGTTTTTGTCTTAAATGTTTCTTTCCAAATTTGTTTTAAATGATGTAATTGTGTTACCACTTACGTCTATAAGCTTCATGTTATGCAATGTGAAGCATGAGAAGTTTTGCAAATAAATTTTTTAAAAAATTTGTTGTTATTACTTAATTTTATCTCTATATTTAAAACATTGCAATTTCCTCGACTTCTTTAAAAAATGCTAATCATTAGCCAATATCGTAGGCTTTTAAAGGTCGAAGAAAATAAAAATTCTTAACTTTAATAACATATTTTTTATAAGATGAATACAATTCAGAAAGTGAAATTTTGCCATTTTTATATAATTATATAACGATGCGCTTATTCAAAATATAACCAAGGGAAATTGAGAAAATAATATATGTGTCGTATTTTTTTTACCTCAAATGCCATTAAATATCCTTTCATGTAGTATATTTAATAAAATAAAATACAAATCGCACTCTTCGTAAGAACATTTATAGTGAAAATTGCTTAATACAAAACTGATTGGACTGAAATAGATTTTCGTTGCAAAAAAACACCCTATATCAACAAAATTAAGTTTATTACAGTTTATTTTATTTACATAGATATGCATATAGGCATATATTTAATAAAAACCAATGAAGCAAAAACAATCACAAGAATTTTAAAAAATTTAATGCAAAATTTTCAAATATTTTGAAAAAAAAACATTTATTGAGTTCTGGGAAAATAATCTGATATTTTTCCTTGCACTTCCATTTTTAGCATCAAATTGTCCAATGTCATCCATTTTGTTGCTCATTTCACCATTGGAATGTGCGTCTAAATAACTGCGCATACTTTTCATACAGTTCCTCATTTCGAATGATGTGGGAACAGGAGCTGCATTACACATACATTTCATATTCGTCGTCGGAATCTGCATCAATGATATTTTTCGAGGTTTGTACAAACTCCAAAATGTTTTTGTCTGCCATAATTGGGGCTATACACACATTATCATACTCTACTGCAATGAATTCTTCCGATAATATAATTGGACAGTCGAACCCGGCTGATGTTTTCTGTATTTTGTTCATTCCTAGAAAAGAAATATTTTCCTGTTAAGCAATTTTCGCGTTTCGTGTTAAGATATCCAACTACCCTAAAATTATGATTTTTTTCAAAATTGTTAAATTTTTTATGATTTTATTTTATAGGCCATCTTATTAGCTTAATAAAAATACCAAGTTTTTAATTTTCCATTCACTAGAACAAAAATTACAAGAGTTTTAGTAAAAAGCGATGCCATAACTTTACACAAGATGTCAAACTTTAAAATGCGTTTCACTCGAAATGTATTTTTTTCGAAAAGCTCAAACGGGGACAGCGATTGCTCAAAAAGTTTTGAAAATAATTTGCTGAAATTTTTGTGTATGTTCTGTATAATAGCAGAAGTGTTTTGACCTTCAGACTTGTGAATCACTGTTTTATTTCAAAATTTACAATCCTTTGGGTGAATATAATGACTAGTTTTTAAGAATTTCATATATTAACTAATATAAAGTGCTCTAGTTTTTGTAAAAATTAAAATATCTCTTATCCTGATAGTGATTTCAAACATAGAATAGCAAAATAACACATCAAAATCGAAAAATTGAGAATTTGTTCATAAAATTTTTGTTCAGAGCGAGCCCCTTTTATGTAATTTTTTGTACACTTTCACCAGTTTTTTCCCATTTTAATAGTAATAATTTATTAATTTCTTTCTGTTTTCAATTTTAGGATTTTTTCCTTACAATATATTAAATAAATCGAAAAAAATCCCCATAAATCCCATTTTTCAAAAAAAAAAAAAAAATGCTGTCACAAGTAGTCGGATATCTTAAGAGAAAAAATGCGTGAAATTACACAGCAGTTTGGCGGGAACAAATAAGAATTATATATATATATATTCTACTTAAAGGAAATATAGAATGTTGCCTAGATGTACGGTATTTCTGCTAATGATAATGACGTAAGGATAAATCTGGTAATAAAACCAACATAGAAAGTGATAATTTTTTTAATTACGGAAATCGAGAAGGAAATCAAATCATTTCAGCTATTCTTTTCAGGAAACCTAGGTCATTTGGGATTCTCAAAAATTGATTTTTTCAAAAAATCATTTCTAAATCTTGGTGAGAACATCAAATGATAAAAAAATAAGTCTAAATTTTTTGTTCTCACTTTAGTACAGAAATCGTAAAGTATATGCACGTAAAATTATCTGAATGTGGAATTTGGTGATATTATACACAATTCCCTTACTAAATAACTTAAACTTATTCTTTTAACAGAATAATTTTCAAGAATTCGAAAACATGTAAATAAATAAAAAGTTGTGTATGTGTACTTATGTACAAACGTAAGAAGTTATACTTCTTTGGAGTAACAAGATTAAAATCTTTCTAAAAATCTTTTGCAGGGCAAGCTGGGACAAGAACCAAATGCGGTCACGAGCAGAGTTGAACGGTACTAACCTTCAGTCAATCGGACCAGCCAAACCTGAGTTAATCAAGAGTTAAATAAATTTAAACACACCGCACAGGAAATAGGACCAAACATGGGGAAAAGGTCGAAGGCGATGGAATGATCTAGTCCTGTTCTGCATATTTCTAGACAAAAGCATTTTCGTATCCTGTTCCTACGGACGGCAAGCGTTCGCTGACAATGGGTGTTTAGCAGTGGTGAAGAGTATCTTCGACTGCAGATGGGAAGGAAACCGGTTCAAACCGGTGCCTTTCAGAGGAAGGAAATAATTTTGGAGAATTTCGAAGGCGGCAATGATCTGTCCCATTCTATATATTTCTAGACAAAGCATTTTTCGTATACGTTCCTACGGAACACAAAGCAAAGGTTCGCTGAAGCGGGTGTATAGCTCGGTGGTAGAGCATTCGGCTGCAGATCGAGAGGTCCAGTTCAAACCCGCTTGTCCCCTTCTTCAGGAAGTGAAAAGAAATATTTTTCTGAGAATTTCGAAGGCGGGAATGATTTGTCCCGTTCTGTATACTTCTAGACAAAGGATTTCCGCTTCCGTGACCGTATGCGCGCATTGTAAAAATTTACCCTCAACCTATTTCTCTAACGCCAAAAAGAAGTATAACTTCAAAAAATTAGGAACATTTTTTCATTTCAATATGCTCTAATTTTACATTTTAGAACGATGTAAGCTAAGTTCGAGAAAAGTCGTAAACCAACAGCCGTGTCTAAAAAATCTTTTTCTGCTGAACATCGTCTTCTGGTGTAGTGAAGATATATGAAACATTCTTCATAGCGTGCAGAATGTACTCATGAAAAGTAAACATTTAAAACCTTTTTGTACCAGAATTATAAAGTAAAAAATAGTATGAAAGCTTTAAAATTGAACATACAAATAAAATTCTTTCGTTTTCGCACTTTCTTAAGTATTATGCTTAGTTATATGCTCTTTTTAGGCAAAAAAATTGAACGTTTGGTACAGAAAAGTATTTATTAAAAAAAAACTCTTCAAATAATTTTTCGTGTTAATTGAATTAACCTCACTAAAAGATGAACTTCCGTCGAACCGGAGTCCACCGTTCTGCCAACTGAGCTATCGACGGCTGTTGTGCTCGTTCTAAATAAGCTTCTAACAATTAGAACACCTGGGTAGGGTTTCGTTCCAGCAACTTCGAAAATTCATTCAATAAGAAATGGATTAAGAGAAGAAATTTTGAGCGAAAACTTTCACTAAAAAAATTACTTTCCGCCGAGCCGGAGTCGAACCAGCGACCTATGGATATCAGCTATGGAACACCTACAGTCCACCGCTCTGCCAACTGAGCTATCGACGGCTGTTGTGCTCGTTCTAAATAAGCTTCTAACAATTAGAACACCTGGGTAGGGTTTCGTTCCAGCAACTTCGAAAATTCATTCAATAAGAAATGGATTAAGAAAGAAATTTTGGGGGAAAAATTTTCACTAAAAATTACTTTCCGCCGAGCCGGGTCGAACCAGCGCCCCGGGGATATCAAAAAATAACCCAAGCCCAAAAGCCCCCGCCAACTGGGCTATCGAGGGCCGTTGTGCCGTTCTAAATAAGCTTCAAAACAAAGAACACCTGGGTGAGAGTTCCTTTCCCCAAACTTTTCCCAAAAATTTTCATCCAAAACAAATGGTTTAAAGAGAAGACTTTTTGGGGCAAAAAATTTCCATTTAAAAAATTTTTTCCGCCGAGCGGGGCCGAACCAGCGCCCCATGGATATCAGCTATGGAACACCTACGGTCCACCGCTCCCCAACGGAGTATCGAGGGGCTGTTTTCTCGTTCTAAATAAGTTTCCCCAAAAAAATTAGAACACCTGGGTGGGGTTTCGTTCCCCCCCGCAAATTCAATTCAATAAGAAATGGATTAAGAAAGAAATTTTGAGCGAAAATTTTCCCACTAAAAATTACTTTCCGCTGACCCGGGAGTCGAACCAGCGACCTATAAAAAGCTAGGGGAACACCAAGTCCACCATTCTCCCAATTTGAGCTATCGACGGCGTTGTGCTCTTTTCAAATAAGCTTCAACAATTAGAACACCTGGGTGGGGTTTTCCCGTTCCAGCAATTTTCGAAAATTCATTAAAAGAAATGGATTAAGAAAAAAATTTTCAGCAAAACTTTCAATAAAAAAATTTACTTTCCGCCGAAAACGGAGTCGAACCAGCGCCCCTATGGATATCAGCTATGGAACACCTACAGTCCCCGCTCTGCCAACTGAGCTATCGACGGCTTTGTTTTCGTTTTAAATAAGCTTCTAACAATTAGAACACCTGGGTAGAGAGTTCCGTTCAAACATTTCCCCAAAAAATTCACCCAAAAACAAATGGGATTAAGGGGGGGGTTTGGGGGGAAAAAAATTTTCCAAAAATTACTTTCCGCCGACCCGGGAGTCAAACAAACCTATGGATATCACCCATGGAACCCCCACAATTCCACCGCTCTCCCAAACCCGAGCTTTTTCGAAAAGGTTTTGCCTTTCCCAAAAATAAGTTTCAAAAATTAGAACACCTGGGTGGGGTTTTCCCGCGTTCCAGCAACTTCGAAAATTCATTCAATAAGAAATGGATTAAGAGAAGAAATTTTCAGCGAAAACTTTCACTAAAAAAATTACTTTCCGCCGAAGGGGAGTCGAACCAAAGACCTATGGATATCAGCTATGGGCCCCCTTACAGTCCCCCGCTCTGCCAACCCGGGAGCTATCGACGGCTGTTGTGCTCGCCCCTAAAAACTTCTAAAAATTAGAACACCTGGGTAGGGTTTCGTTCCAAAAACCCCTTCGAAAATTCATTAAATAAGAAATGGATTAAGAAAGATATTTTCAGCAAAAATTTTCACAAAAAAAATTATTTTTCCCCCCGAGAGGGAAATTCCAAACCAGCGACCTATGGATATCAGCTTTGGAACACCTACAGTCCCCCGCTCTGCCCGAGTTTACGACGGCTTTTTGCTCGTTTCTAAATAAGCTTCTAAAAAATTTAAGAAAAAGGGTGAGAGTTCCGTTCAAACATTTCCGAAAATTCATTCAATAACAAATGGATTAAGAGGACCCCAGAAAAATTTTCCCCAAAAAAAATTATTTTCCCCCGGGACCCGGGAAAATAACCAGCGACCTAGGGATATCAGCTATGGAACACCTACAGCCCCGCTCTGCCAACTGAGCTTTTCGACGGCTGTTGTGGGGGGCCCCTAAAAACCCCTTCAAAACAATTGAACACCTGGGTAAGGGTTTCTTTCCCAACTTCGCAAATTCATTCAAAAAGAAATGGATTAAGAAAAATTTTTGGAGAAAAACTTTCACAAAAAAATTTTTTCCGTTTTGGCCGGAGTCGAACCAACCTATGGATATAAGCTATGGAACACCTACGGTCCCCCGCCTGCCAATTTGGACCCATCGCCCTCCCGTTGTGCTCGTTTTTAAAAAGCTTCTAACAATTAGAACACCTGGGTAGGGTTTCTTTCCCAGCAACTTCGAAAATTCACCCAAAGAAATGGTTTAAAGGGAAAAATTTTTTTCAGCAAAAATTTCACTAAAAATGTTAGTTTCCGTCGAGCCATTAACACGACTATGGAAAAAGCCTAAAACACCTACAGCCCCCGCTCTCCCAAACTGAGCATCGACGGTCGGCGTTTGTTCAAAATGCAAATCATTTGAATGTTTAAAAGGTTGTTTCTCGACACGTCAACTTTTTAAAACCATAAGGGAGGGAAAGAAGAAAATAAAAAATTTTTTACTAAAATGTTATTTTCCCGGACCCATTGAACCAGCGACCATGGATAACACCCGGGAAACACCTACAGTCACCGCTCTCCCAAACGAGCTTTAGGGTCGGCGTGCTTGTTCTAAATGAATTTAAAATTTTAGAATGTTTCGGATGTTTCGACACGTAAACAACAAAACCAAGTGGTGGAAAAGAAAAATGAAAAATCTTTCACAAAAAATTGTTAGTTTCCCAGCCGGATTCGAACCAGCGACCTATGGATAACAGCCTGGAAACACCTACAGTCACCGCCCCGCCAACTGAGCTATCGACGGTCGGCGTGTCTTGTTCAAAATGAACTTAAATCATTTAGAATGTTTCGAAAGGATTGTTTCTCAGACACGTCAACAATCTTTAAAACCAAAGATGGATGGAGAGAAAAAAAAATGAAAAATACTTTCACAAAAAATGTTATTTTCCCCGTCGACCCGGGATTCGAACCAGCGACCTAGGATAACAGCCTGGGAAACACCTACAGTCCACCGCCTGCCAACGACCCTCGACGGTCGGCGTGCTGTTCTAAATGAACTTAAATCATTTAGAATGTTTCGAAAGGATTGTTCCTCGACACGTCAACAATTTTTAAAACCCCATAGATATGGAGAGAAAAAAAAATGAAAATACTTTCACTAAAAATTTTTGTTCCGTCGAGCCGGATTCGAACCAGCGACCTATGGTTTACGGGCCTGGAAACCCCTACAGTCCACCGCTCTGCCAACTGAGCTATCGACTTGTCGGCTGCTTGTTCTAAGGAACTTAAATCATTTAGAATGTTTGAAAGGTTGTTTCTCGACACGTCAACAATCTTTAAACCATAGATGGAGGGAAAGGAAGAAAATGAAAATACTTTACTAAAATGTTAGTTTCCGTCGAGCCGGATTCGAACCAGCGACCTATGGATATCAGCCTTGAAACACCTACAGTCCACCGCTCTGCCAACTGAGCTATCGACGGTCGGCGTGCTTGTTCAAAAATAAACTAAACCATTTAGAATGTTTCGAAAGGTTTGGGTTTCAGACACGTCAACAATCTTTAAACCATAGATGGATGGAGAGAAGAAAATGAAAAATCCCTTTCACAAAATGTTAGTTTCCGTGAGCCGGATTCGAACCAGCGACCTATGGATAACAGCCTGGAAACACCTACAGTCCACCGCTCTGCCAACTGAGCTATCGACGGTCTGTGCTTGTTCTAAATGAACTTAAATCATTTAGAATGTTTCGAAAGGGTTGTTCTCAGACACGTCAACAATCCTTTAAACCATAGATGGATGGAGAGAAGAAAAAATGAAAAATACTTTCACTAAAAATGTTAGTTTCCGTCGAGCCGGATTCGAACCAGCGACCTATGGATAACAGCCTGAAACACCTACAGTCCACCGCTCTGCCAACTGAGCTTCGACGGTCGGCGTGCTTGTTCTAAATGAACTTAAATCATTTAGAATGTTTCGAAAGGATTGTTTCTCAGACACGTCAACAATACTTTAAACCATAGATGGATGGAAGAAGAAAAATGAAAAATACTTTCACTAAAATGTTAGTTTCCGTCGAGCCGATTCGAACCAGCGACCTATGGATACAGCCTGGAAACACCTTACAGTCCAATCGCTCTGCCAACTGAGCTATCGACGGTCGGCGTGCTTGTTCTAAAATGAACTTTAAATCATTTAGAATGTTTCGAAAGGTTGTTTCTCAGACACGTCAACAATCTTTAAACCATAGATGGATGGAGAGAAGAAAAAATGAAAAATACTTTCACTAAAATGTTAGTTTCCGTCGAGCCGGATTCGAACCAGCTGACCTATGGATACAGCCTGGAAACACCTACAGTCCACCGCTCTGCCAACTGAGCTATCGACGGTCGGCGTGCTTGTTCTAAATGAACTTAAATCATTTAGAATGTTTCGAAAGGATTGTTTCTCAGACACGTCAACAATACTTTAAACCATAGATGGATGGAGAGAAGAAAAATGAAAAAATACTTTCACTAAAATGTTAGTTTCCGTCGAGCCGGATTCGAACCAGCGACCTATGGATAACAGCCTGGAACACCTACAGTCCACCGCTCTGCCAACTGAGCTATCGACGGTCGGCGTGCTTGTTCTAAATGAACTTAAATCATTTAGAATGTTTCGAAAGGATTGTTTCTCAGACACGTCAACAATCTTTTAAACCATAGATGGATGGAAGAAGAAAAATGAAAATACTTTCACTAAAATGTTAGTTTCGTCGAGCCGGATTCGAACCAGCGACCATGGATAACAGCCTGAAACACCTTACAGTCCACCGCTCTGCCAACTGAGCTATCGACGGTCGGCGTGCTTGTTCTAAATGAACTTAAATCATTTAGAATGTTTTTGAAAGGATTGTTTCTCAGACACGTCAACAATACTTTAAACCATAGATGGATGGAGAGAAGAAAAAATGAAAAATACTTTCACTAAAAATGTTAGTTTCCGTCGAGCCGATCTCGAACCAGCGACCCATGGATAACAGCCTGGAAACACCTACAGTCCACCGCTCTGCCAACTGAGCTATCGACGGTCGGCGTGCTTGTTCTAAATGAACTTAAATCATTTAGAATGTTTCGAAAGGATTGTTTCTCAGACACGTCAACAATACTTTAAACCATAGATGGATGGGAGAGAAGAAAACATGAAAATACTTTCACTAAAATGTTAGTTTCGTCGAGCCGGATTCGAACCAGCGACCTATGGATATCAGCCTGAAACACCTACAGTCACCGCTCTGCCAACTGAGCTATCGACGGTCGGCGTGCTTTGTTCTAAATGAACTTAAATCATTTAGAATGTTTCGAAAGGATTGTTTCTCAGACACGTCAACAATACTTTAAACCATAGATGGATGGAGAGAAGAAAAAATGAAAAATACTTTCACTAAAAATGTTAGTTTCCGTCGAGCCGGATTCGAACCAGCGACCTATGGATAACAGCCTGGAAACACCTACAGTCCACCGCTCTGCCAACTGAGCTATCGACGGTCGGCGTGCTTGTTCTAAATGAACTTAAATCATTTAGAATGTTTCGAAAGGATTGTTTCTCAGACACGTCAACAATACTTTAAACCATAGATGGATGGAGAGAAGAAAAAATGAAAAATACTTTCACTAAAAATGTTAGTTTCCGTCGAGCAGGATTCGAACCAGCGACCTATGGATAACAGCCTGAAACACCTACAGTCCACCGCTCTCGCCAACTGAGCTATCGACGGTTGATGGTGCTTGTTCTAAATGAACTAAATCATTTAGAATGTTTCTGAAAGGATTGTTCTCAGACACGTCAACAATACTTTAAACCATAGATGGATGGAGAGAAGAAAAAATGAAAAATACTTTCACTAAAATGTTAGTTTCCGTCGAGCCGGATTCGAACCAGCGACCTATGGATATCAGCCTTGAAACACCTACAGTCCACCGCTCTGCCAACTGAGCTATCGACGGTCGGCGTGCTTGTTCTAAATGAACTTAAATCATTTAGAATGTTTCGAAAGGGTTGTTTCTCAGACACGTCAACAATACTTTAAACCATAGATGGATGGAGAGAAGAAAAAATGAAAAATACTTTCACTAAAAATGTTAGTTTCCGTCGAGCCGGATTCGAACCAGCGACCTATGGATATACAGCCTGAAACACCTACAGTCCACCGCTCTGCCAACTGAGCTACCCCCCCCCCCCCCCCCCCCCCCCCCCCCCCCCCCCCCCCCCCCCCCCCCCCCCCCCCCCCCCCCCCCCCCCCCCCCCCCCCCCCCCCCCCCCCCCCCCCCCCCCCCCCCCCCCCCCCCCCCCCCCCCCCCCCCCCCCCCCCCCCCCCCCCCCCCCCCCCCCCCCCCCCCCCCCCCCCCCCCCCCCCCCCCCCCCCCCCCCCCCCCCCCCCCCCCCCCCCCCCCCCCCCCCCCCCCCCCCCCCCCCCCCCCCCCCCCCCCCCCCCCCCCCCCCCCCCCCCCCCCCCCCCCCCCCCCCCCCCCCCCCCCCCCCCCCCCCCCCCCCCCCCCCCCCCCCCCCCCCCCCCCCCCCCCCCAAAAAAAAAAAAAAAAAAAAAAAAAAAAAAAAAAAAAAAAAAAAAAAAAAAAAAAAAAAAAAAAAAAAAAAAAAAAAAAAAAAAAAAAAAAAAAAAAAAAAAAAAAAAAAAAAAAAAAAAAAAAAAAAAAAAAAAAAAAAAAAAAAAAAAAAAAAAAAAAAAAAAAAAAAAAAAAAAAAAAAAAAAAAAAAAAAAAAAAAAAAAAAAAAAAAAAAAAAAAAAAAAAAAAAAAAAAAAAAAAAAAAAAAAAAAAAAAAAAAAAAAAAAAAAAAAAAAAAAAAAAAAAAAAAAAAAAAAAAAAAAAAAAAAAAAAAAAAAAAAAAAAAAAAAAAAAAAAAAAAAAAAAAAAAAAAAAAAAAAAAAAAAAAAAAAAAAAAAAAAAAAAAAAAAAAAAAAAAAAAAAAAAAAAAAAAAAAAAAAAAAAAAAAAAAAAAAAAAAAAAAAAAAAAAAAAAAAAAAAAAAAAAAAAAAAAAAAAAAAAAAAAAAAAAAAAAAAAAAAAAAAAAAAAAAAAAAAAAAAAAAAAAAAAAAAAAAAAAAAAAAAAAAAAAAAAAAAAAAAAAAAAAAAAAAAAAAAAAAAAAAAAAAAAAAAAAAAAAAAAAAAAAAAAAAAAAAAAAAAAAAAAAAAAAAAAAAAAAAAAAAAAAAAAAAAAAAAAAAAAAAAAAAAAAAAAAAAAAAAAAAAAAAAAAAAAAAAAAAAAAAAAAAAAAAAAAAAAAAAAAAAAAAAAAAAAAAATTTTTCGGGGTTGCCAAGAACAAACAAAAATTTAGAGGGTGGGGGAAAAAAGAAAAATTTTTTAAAAATTTTTTTGGAGGGACAAAGAAGGGAATCCCAAAATTTTCGCCCCGTTTTGCCAAACGACTATGACGGGTTTTCTAAAAGCAAACATTTAAAAGTTTCCGGGTTGTTCTAAACCAACAACTTTAAACCTGAGGGGGGGGAAAAAAAAAAAAATTTTTAAAAAAGGGTTTTTTTGGGGGGGAAACCCAGGCCTTAAAAAGTTTTAAAACCCCCATACCCCCCCCAGTATCGCTGGCCTGCAAAATAAACTTAAATATTTAAATTTTCGGGTTGTTTAAACTAAAAAAATTTAAAAATTAAGGGGGGGGAAAAGAAAAAAAAAAATCTTTACTAAAAATTTATTTCCCGGGGGGTTTGAAAACCCCTTTTAAAACCCCCGGCCCTCGCCCACCGTCTCAAAAAACAGGTCAGGGCCCCTAAATAAACTTAACATTTGTTTTTTTGGGGTTGTTTCCAAATAACAAATTTAAACCTAAGGGGGGGAAAAAAAAAAATGAAAATCTTTAAAAAATTTTTTTTGTGGCCGGAAAAGGGATATAAAAAGTTTTCCCCCCTTTCCCGCCGGGCCAATACTATGAGGCCGGGTTTTGAAATAAAAATTTTGAAGCAAAGGGTTGTTTCTCGTAGACACGCCGGGGTCAATGCTTAAACCATAGATGGATGGGAGAGAAGAAAACAGCACTTTCACTAAAAATGTTAGTTTCGTCGGGCCGGATTCGGAAACCAGCTTAGGACCTATGGATAACAGCCTGAAACACCTACATAGTCCACCGCTCTGCCAACTGAGCTATCAAGACGGTTTATGCTTTGAAATTCTAAATGAACTTAAAGTATTTAGAATATTTCGAAAGGTTTTTTTCTCAGACACATCAACAATCCTTAAACCATAGATGGATGGAGAGAAGAAAATGAAAAAAATACTTTCACTAAAATGTTAGTTTCCGTCGAGCCGACCGAACCAGCGACCTATGGATAACAGCCTGGAAAATACCTACAGCCCACCGCTCTGCCAACTGAGCTATCGACTTGTCGGTGTGCTTGTTCTAAACGCACTTAAAGCATTTAGGAATGCTCTCTGAAAGGGCTGTTTCGTGACACGTCAACAACTTTTAAAACCAGATGGATGGAGAGAAGAAAAATGAAAAATACTTTCACTAAAAATGTTAGTTTCCGTCAAATGGATTCAAACCAGCTTGACCCATGGATAACAGCCTGGAAACACTACATTATGTCCACCGCTCTGCCAACTGAGCCGGTCGACGTCGAGGTGCTTGTTCTAAATGCACCTAAAGCATTTAGAATGTTTCTGAAAGGGTTGCTTCTCAGACACGTCAACAACTTTTGTAAACCATAGATGGATGGAGAGAAGAAAAAATGAAAAATACTTTCACTAAAAATGTTAGTTTCCGTCGAGTCGGATTCGAACCAGCGACCTATGGATAACAGCCTTGAAACACCTACAGTCCACCGCTCTGCCAACTGAGCTATCGACGGTCGGCGTGCTTGTTCTAAATGAACTTAAAGCATTTAGAATGTTTCGAAAGGGTTGTTTCTCAGACACGTCAACAATCCTTTAAACCATAGATGGATGGAGAGAAGAAAATGAAAAATACTTTTACGTGCCAGCTTCCGTCGAGCCGGATTCGAACCAGCGACCTATGGATAACAGCCTGGAAACACCTACAGTCCACACCGCTCTGCGTCAACTGAGTTATCGACGGTCGGCGTGCGTTTGTTCTAAATGAACTTAAATCATTTAGGACAAGCCGCCTCTGAAAGGATTGTTTGTCGACACGTCAACAACTTTAAACCCATAGATGATGGAGAGAAGAAAAATGAAAAATACTCTCACTAAAATGTCAGCTCCTTGCCGAGCCGGATTCGGAACCAGCGACCTGCGATATCAGCCTTGAAACACCTACAGTCCACCGCTCTACCAACTGAGCATCGGGACGGTCGGCGTTTGTTAAGTACGAACTTTAAATCATTTAGAATGTTTCGAAAGGATTGTTTCTCAGACACGTCAACAATGCTTTAAACCATAGATGGATGGAGAGAAGAAAAAATGAAAAATACTTTCACTAAAATGTTAGTTTCCGTCGAGCCGGATTCGAACCAGCGACCTATGGATAACAGCCTGAAACAACTACAGTCCACCGCTCTGCCAACTGAGCTGCTACCGACGGTTTATGCTTGTTCTAAATACTGAACTTAAATCATTTAGAATGTTTCCTGGAAAGGATTTCACCAGACACGTCAACAATAATTTAAACCATAGATGGATGGAGAGAAGAAAAATGAAAAATAATTTTCACTAAAATGTTAGTTTCCGTCGAGCCGGATTCGAACCAGCGACCTATGGATATCAGTCTGGAAACACCTACAGTCCACCGCTCGCCAACTGAGCCATCGGGACGGTCGGCGTGCTTGTTATAAATGAACTTAAATCATTTAGAATGTTTCCCTGAAAGGATTGTTTCTCAGACACGTCAACAATGCTTTTAAAACCATAGATGATGGAGAGAAGAAAAATGAAAAATACTTTCACTAAAATGTTAGTTTCCGGTGAGCCGGATTCGAACCAGCGACCTAAGGATATCAGCCTCGAAAACACCTACAGTCCACCGCTCTGCCAACTGAGCTATCGACGGTCGGGGGCTTGTTCTAAATGAACTTAAATCATTTAGAATGTTTCGAAAGGTTG